TGTTGTTGTTGTTGTTGTTGTTGTTGTTGTTGTTGTTGTTGTTGTTGTTGTTGTTGTTGTTGGTGGTGGTGGTGGTGGTGGTGGTGGTGCTGCTGCTGCTGTTGGCGGTGCTGTTGTTGTTGGTGGTGGTGCTGCTGTTGTTGTTGTTGCTGTTGTTGTTGTTWTTGTTGTTGTTGGTGGTGGTGGTTGTTGCTGTTGTTGTTGTTGTTGCTGTTGTTGTTGTTGGTGGTGGTGGTCGTGTTGCTGGTGTATTTGTTGTCGTTGTTGTTTGTTTTTTGTTGTTGTTGTTGTCGTTATTGTGGTGGTGGTTGTTGCCGTTGTGGTGTGGTGCTGATGGTGGTGAAGGTGTAATCCATTAGTTGTAATTGTGGTTTTGGTTGTGGCATGTAGTTTGTAATCCATTGTTTAATGTGCAATTCATTGTTTGCATATACTGCAAGGAATATGAGTGTGAGCGATATACATAAAACCAAGTTGCAAAATAACACAGCTGAACAAGTGGTCGTGTCCCAAGCAGAGAGTACAAATGCACCGAGAAAACCATCCATATAGAGCAATACAATGAAGTAATGAGCCAATGTCCAAGCCCGTAGGCCACACCAACACAGTATCTAAAGTCGCTCTCTGCTGTCTGGCGCTCGACGCCCAGCCTACTCTACCTGACTAGCCTACCTACAGCCGGTTCACGCAACAGGATCACTTCGACTCTCGAAGACCAATGTACATGACTGCGAACACCATTGCCGACCTCTCTTAATGTACCAGGTACGTATCTCGTCACCCTCAATCAGACCTTGATTACCCCACACAGCGCCTCCTTCACTGAAGACCACCCAATCATCCGCTGTACCCCCTGGCGCCCAGCAGCCCGGCTATGGCCGCCTGCGCCCCGCTGCCCTGCAGCGCCCCTCTCACCACCTTGCGCTCCGTCAGCGCCCCTGGCATTAGCSCAGCATCAAGCAGAAGCGCAGCAGCACTTCCGCATTGCCAGCGCTGGCCAGTGTCCCTGGCCTGGGCTGCCTTACTTCCTTTATGGAAGTGGCAGCGTGCTTGATGCTGCGTCTGGCCTGGCTGGAAGCTTCCAGTAGCTTCCGGTTGGGCCTCAGACCCTGTGCCCAGGCCCGAGACTTACAGTTCAGGGCCTGGGCCCTTTTCAGTTGGGCACGGCCTGGCTGTTTGCTGTATCTGCGCAGGGCCCTCAGGTAGATGCGTCGGCAGTACTGCTTTTCCCAAGGCCGACGGCCTGCTTCTCAATGTATCGGCCCTGCTTTGGTGTGTATGTGCCCAGGCGCAACTTTCGTGGCCTGGGCCAACGGTACGACGCAGCTTAGTGAGGCTCGCGCGTTCACTCAACCAASTAACGCKCTGCAAGAGCCTGAATACCCACATATGGAAAGGTCRAAWTTTGGCCTGYGACGAATATTCAGGCCCGCCTTCACTTAGGGCGGGCACTTGGCTTGCTGGGGCCTTAGCCCAGAACATGCAATGTCTGATAGGGCCCCTGGAGGGCTCATTCCTCACATTCCATCCCCCTTAGCTTCGAAAGTCCGCTGAGATGCTTCATGCTGGAGCCTTCCCCTTTAGTCTCTTCTCATAATCTGCCACGATCTGAGGAGCTGTCTTAATAAGTTCCTCCCTTGAAATCCATCGATCTTCCTTCGGATCCGTATGATGCCTGAAATGAACTTTGTACTCGCTTGCAGGTTTTGGAGGTCTTCCCCTGCCTGTTGGCTTGGGAACAGGCGTATCTCTGTGATCCAAAATGTCGTCGACGTCCACGTGGTCGCCCATGGTTGGGGGCGGCATAGATTTTCGTGATGGGAACAGTGCTGTCTCAGCGAAAGGTGCAAGCTTGGAGGCGTGAAAAACAGGGTAAGTGTGTAAGTGACCAGGGATACGAATGACGTACGAGGGACCATCCAAATCATTCCCCACAATGTCCAGGACTTCCCAGGGACCGAAATACTGAGGCATTAGTTTCCTAGAGATGCCAAACTCCTGTCCCAACTCACTAGCCTTGACCCAAACACGTCCCCTACCTGAAATGTGGACTGTCGGCGACGTTTGTTCTCAGAAGCAATCATGACTTCTTGAGATTTCTTGATGTGTTCGACAGTCTGCTGCAACAATTTCTCATACTGGACACCAAATTCAATGGTTCCAGGAGTTGCAACAGTTCGGTTTTCAGGCACGAGGAAATCTAGAGCAGATCTAGGCTTCCATCCCAGATGCAGTTGATTAGGACTGACGCCGGTGGTGCTGTGTACTGCGTTATTGTACAGGTTGGCGATGAGAGGTAATTTCTCATCCCAGTCATCCTGGCTGGGCTTGATGTAATGCCTCGACAGATGCTGCACCACTCGGTTCATCTGTTCAGCCTGCCCATTTGCTTCGGGATGATTCCCAGAAGTCATCTGAAGCTGGCTGCCCATCTGTTCAACGGCCTTCTTCCACATCTCGCTTGTGAAACGTACATCTCTGTCACTAACGATCGTTTTTGGAAGTCCAAAGTCACGCACCCAGTTGTCCATGAACAACTTGATGACGTGCTCAGTCCTGGCAGTTTTTGGCATGGCGATTAGTCTAGCGTACTTAGTGAACCTATCCACTATGACGAAGATGTGCCATTCTTGCTGGTCACGAGAGTGTCCATGAAGTCCATGGAGATACTCTGCCCTGGACCAGAAGGAATGGGTAGAGGCTTGAGTAACCCAAGCAGTGCTTGAGTTCGCGGCTTGTCCCGCTGACAGACCTGACAAGTCTGTACGTACTTCTTTGCATCGTCCAACATGTTAGGCCACCAAAATCGCTGTATTAAGTTAGCACTAGTCTTCTTATAGCCGAAATGTCCTGTTCCGTCATGGCATTCTCCTAAAAACAAACTCCGCAAATCTTCCCTAGTTGGAACAACTAATCTCTTAAACCCTGCAATGGCCTTTGCGGATCGGGTACCATGAGAACCTCATGGTGCGTGAGAGCATGCTTCAACCGTTTGAAAGTTGCCTCACACTCGTCAGTYCAGTCCCATGGTGTGTCAAGTCGAGTTCGATCAGTCAAGGGAGATGCGACCGTGCTATAGTTCTTCACGAAGTTGCGGTAATAACCACACATTCCCAAGAATGATCTGACCTCAGTCACAGACCGGGGTCGTGGCCAGTCCCTAATGCTAGCCACCTTCGCATCTTCAGGCCAAATCCCGTCTGCGGATACTTCATGAACCAAGTACAAGATTCGAGTGCGGCCGAACTCGCATTTCTCAGCGTTTATCTTATACTTGTGTTGTCGAAGGAGTGAAAGTACTTTGTCTACATGTTGAACATGCTCCTCGACAGTTCTAATAAAGATAAGTATATCGTCGAGGTACACGACAACGAACTTATCTAAGTAGTCATGGAAGATCCGATTCATAGCGTGCTGGAATGTACCCGGCGCATTGCAAAGGCCAAAGGGCATCACTACAAACTCATACAGACCATACCTGGTCTAAAATGCGGTTTTGAGCTGGTCCTCTGGTCTAATGGCAATCTGATGGTAGCCGGATTTTAAGTCTATCTTTGTATAATACTTACATCCCTGCACCCTATCCAATAGCTCGTCGCTGCGTGGTAGAGGCTCTACGTTCTTAACTGTGATGACATTGAGGCCTCTATAATCAATGCACATCCTTAGTGTTCCCCCTTTCTTTGGAACAAACAATACTGGTGAGCCAAAGGGGGAAGTGCTAGGTCGAATCCAACCCTTCTCTGTGAGCTCTTTCAGTTGCCACCGAAGTTCGTCCAACTCGGCTGGAGCCATCCTATAGATTCTTCCCTTAGGTGTTTTAGTACCTGGGATGATCTCTATGGCATGGACAATCTCCGTGTCTACGACTCCTGTAGGCTCCTCGAACAGATCAGGGTACTTGGCGACGATGGTCTCTATCTTTGGGGTGTTTTAACGGCCTCCCCTTTTTCAGAGACATATACTAACTACATTCCTTCCTCTTGGTTCTGTTTATAATAATTATAGAAGGCAGATGCGCATAAGCACCCATAGGAGTCTATTAACCTACTGGCTTTGTACTTGGCCAGTCTAACGGTTCTCCCACTAGGCAACTCATGCTTCAACACCTTTTTGTCCCAGTCAAACTAGGGTTTGGCAACCTCAAGGTAGTACATGCCCAATGACATGTCAAAGGGCAACTCGTCGCTCACCAGGAATGATATCTTATGATTTATCTCTCCTCCTGGGTAGGAGAAGGTGCAAACTACATCTTTAACGTAGTCCTCCACCATCATGCGCTCTTTGTTGGCCAAAGTAGATGTTACCGGTCTACTAAGGCGCTGCACCCGGTCCTTTAGGCACAGTCTGTCAACGCAGTCGCGACTTGTGAAGTTTCGCATGGAGCCAATGTCTACGAAGGCGCCGCACTTGCGACCACCCACACCAACTTCCACTACGAAGTGCTCCCCTCTAGGACCTCTACTCGGTGCCACCTAGGACTCACGAGGGTCCCTTGCCGACCACTCACCTTGAAGGTCCTCTAAGGCTTCAGACACATCCAACGTACAAAGTATAGTTGGGTCCAGATGCGTCTGCGGGGTGACTAAGGAGTCAATAGCTTTGACCAACTCTTGAACCGGGGAGGGTACATCACCCGATTCAACGAGAGTAGAAGCAACTACATCTTCTACCGGCGTTAAGTGTTTCCCGAGCTGCAGCTCGTAGAGGCCCCAGACTGAGAAGAAGGAAACCCACCCTTAGGAGGGATCTTTTGCGAGACCTTCGGGTTCTTATATTTAAACTGCGTATGGCCGTACTCGCCGCAGTTTATGCAAGCACCTCGCGACCAACGATCTCGCCACACTTCCTGATCCAAGCCTGCTCTAACCCAAGCAACTATTTTGTTTGGGTTGGCGGCTTGCCCCTGACCCCTTTGTTGACCGCCCTTCCCGCGGCCTCCTGCCTTAGTCTTCACTACCGCGGCGAGGTTGCTACCCTCAGCACTCTCCTCGCCGTCTAACTCGGTTCCCTCCACAAGCTCAGAAACATCATCGATCTCAGTTTGATTCCCATCGGAATCAACCATCATCAATCGACTACCCTTCTTCTTCCACTCTTGTGGAGTCTTCTTCTTTCTCCCGTCCGTAGAAGGGGTTTGAGCACTACCTAGCGTAGCCTCTAAGTCTAGAGCCTTCTTGCTGAATGTCTCAAACGTGTGATACTCTCCGCGAGCCTCGCTGGCTAATAAGTTCTTGATGTCTGTGGGAAGACATCTCAGAAAAGTGGTCAATAAGACCTCTGGATTGTACTCCACTCCTGGGACAACGATCAGACGCTCTACGGTCGTGGGAAGCTCTCGCACTGACTTGTACTTCCTAGCATCAAGTTTCAGTACCCCATCAGTGGCAATTTGTGCCTGCTGAGGGTTGTGCCAACTCGCTTCCACTAAGTCCATAAAGTTTTCTAAGGTGTGGGTCTGCGCCCAATCACCCATGTTCCTGCCGAAACCCTTTGAAGCAACCAATCCATTTAACCAACGAGTTGTTGAACCCTCTAAGTAGGATGCAGCAGTTATCACTTCCTCTTCTACCAATGTCCTCTTTGCCCTCACCCAGACTAGAACCGTTCTCAACCACGTGTCTAGAGCCTCGTCCTTCTTGTCTCCTGAGAAGGTTAGAGGTGGTTTCAGAGGGGTCTTGGGATACCAAGGAAATTATTGTCCCGCTGCCGAGACAGGTGGCGACTGTGGTGTAGCACCAGTCGCTGGACCGGAAGATGAAGAAGAAACAGTCTGAGATAAGGTTTCTGCTGATGTACCACTTGGTTGTGGTCCAGACTGAGCGGCATACGGGCCTGTCGTCGTTGACAATGGCAGCGACGGCAAGACTGCTGGCCTGATTCCCGGTTTGTGCATAGCATTTAGGATCTGGTCCAAGGTGTCCTGGATTGTATCCAGTTTACTGTCCATGTATGCATGCATGGACAGGATGCTCGCCTTCAGAATCTTTTCATTGTTGCTAAGGGCCGAGTCATCTAACTCCTCTAGCGCAGCCTTGTCTGCCTCCCTTCCCTCTAGTTTGACACTCCTATCTCTAATCTCTTTCTCTCTTTTAGTAGCCTGCCCAAGATCCTCCTCTAGCCTCAAGCGGATCCTCTCGACTTGCTTGAGCTCCATCTGCTCCCGAGTGCGTGGAGGCGGCGAGCTGAACTGCGAGCCCGCCATCTGACTAGTGCCAGCCCCTGACGTACTGGAGGTGGACTGTGAACTGGTCAGCATGCCCAACACTTGACCAGTTGAGTTTGCAGCAGAAGTTGCTGCCGACGTAGCCATAGCTACAGCGCTAGCTGCTGCCGCTGCTAACGCACGTTCAGCCGCTGCTGCTGCTGCTCTCGCAGTCTCTAGATTGCGGGCCCTTGTCTTGGCCCTAAGCCTTCTCTCATCTCCTGGTAGTATAACCGGGAACACAACAGGTATCCTAGCGGTATCCTGTCGTGTCTGCCTCCTATCGTCAGATCTCTCCTCCCCACTGTCTGATTCGCTCATGGGCTAGGCAGACGCTGTCTGCACTAATGTCCTCTTTGGAACCTACCGCAGCATGCGTCTGACCGGATCTAAAAATAAATAATTAAATAAATGCCCGGCGGGTTATCTAGACTACTATTCAAGTGGCATCAACAGAACCTACACAAACTGTACACATTGTCTAAGTGTATCATGATTAGTTCCGCACAACAGATTCGAGAAGAATTGACTATGAGATTACAGTCCTACTCTACTCTGTCTGTTAGGTGTCAGCAGTCGGTCAACCAACTGATCAAACATAAAACTTACACTAATGTGAGCAGATGTATGCACAATGGAAATGATAGTGATGTTCAGTTGAGTTCACAATTGGAATCCCCTTCCCCTATATCCAACGTACCTGTGAGCATCATCAAGCTGCAGTGTCTAAGGTGTGCAACCACGGCCCACCCCTGTGCCCAAGAAGTATGCTTATGACCAGCCTGCCCTTTATTTACCCTCGCATGCAACGAGCCTTACGTCTGACTGATCTGGCTGATCAAGAGGCAATTTAAGGACAGCCCCTGGAGTCCTCAGGAATTCTTTACGTCGCAATCAAGACGACAATCACAGCCAGTGGACAGTTCAGACCCCAACCAGAAATGTTTATAGACGGTCTGGGAGCGTCTCCGTAGGACTGGTCAGTCCGCACACCCCTTTTATCAGCGCAGCAAAGAGCCTCAATGGACAACGCAGCATGGCCTATGTGTACTAATACCCATGGGTTGGCATGGTGACCGTGACCCGTGCTTCGACCAGGGCCCTTCGGAGGCACCGCCCTCTCCTGCCAGATGCACCACCGGGAAGAATGTCGTCTCTCAAGATAGAGCGCACACGACTCCTCACCAAAGAGAGGACACTCAAGTTGGACTCACTTCCTCACGGTAAGAAGAGATTGAGATGGTAGATAAGCAATGGGAACAACGTACCTGGAGATAGCTGCCCCCAACCACAGATTTCTCACCAATTGGGCCGACGTGCATTTCGATGACCGGTCAATAGTGTGGCATACTGCGTAGCCACACGGGCCCTACAGGGCCCGTCCCAGACAGTCAGCCTAAAAGCCTAAAACTTAGGGCTTACAGGCCCCGGAGACGTTTCAGCCTGACAACCGAGTTCAGGCCCTACAGGCCCTAAAACGGTTCCCAGACTGAAGCCTAAAACTTAGGGCTTACAGGCCCCGGAGACATTTCAGCCTGACAACCGAGTTCAGGCCCTACAG